AAAAAAAAAAACCGATAAAGCCAAGTAAGGAGACGTATATGCCATGCTATATAAACCTGACGTCCGCTGACTCGTCTGTCGGCTATGTTCTCTACAAGCCTCACAGCCTTGCGCACTTCACACCCCAGGGCTTCCTCGCCGCTCCTACGCAAAATTGGCACCTGCACCTATCCGTCGCTGGCTCGCCAAAACATCTTCCTTTCTCTATTAGCAATCTCTCGGTTTATCTTCAGAGAGGCCTTACTTTAAAATACCCGTATTTCATCGATAATGCATTCTGCTGGTATATGATGGAGGAAGACGTATTCGAATTTTGAGTTATGGAATGCCCTCTCCGGAATCCATACATCGTGCTTTATTGCTAATATTTGAACATTTCGGTACTCCAGGGGACACTGGCTCCTTCGCGTGTGGATTTTCGAAACGGTAACATTCCCGTTCCTTCGGAGGACTCGGCGATCAGCTTCCTCAAAAGCAGTTTCCTCATCGCAATAAACAGAGATAAATGGTGTAGGGCATCGATTTCCCCAGTCAAGGTGCTTCGCCAGAGCGTCATGCACCATATGGTTCCTCGTAAAGTCTATTTCGGACGAGGTATCTCGGGCAAAGAAGCCGTAACCTGGAGAATAGTACGTGCCAGAATACTCGTCTTGAACTCTCCAATATATTGTCGGTGCCATCTTCCTCGCGGCGGATGATTGTATAGAAGATGAACAAGATCTTCGTCTGAGTATATTAATATATCCGCACCCCTAGCCAGTAGGACCGAAGGCGCTGATTCGGTATGCTATGCCTCGGTAGAATAAATCGGTAAAGGTAGACGTGGCGCCGCTTAATTGGTTAGATGTACGAAGATACTAAGTGTAACGAGAGCCTCTTCAGCGCAATTTTTGAAACTGTTTAGCTAATGAGATAACTGAAGGGGGTTATCTTAAGGACAAGGGTGAGAGAATTGAGAGACAAATCACGTGAGGTAGTATCGTAGGTTCGTCACTAAGAATTAATGGGTAAACATTATTCCTTTAAGTTGACCACGAATGCGCCATCTACTGCTAGAGAGTATAGACTATATATGTATTCAATTTGGATCAAAGGGGAGGTTGGGTAAATCTTGGGATCTTAATCTATTGTGGGCCCGGCATGTGATTCATGCGCCGCTTTCCCTGCTGCCGACTTCCGGCTTTCTTACCTTCCATCTTCGCACTTATTGGATGAGATAAGAGTGTTGCTCTCGTCCTAGGTTGCTGATCTTGAGGTACCCTGCTAACTTTAGTCACATTGTTGTGATCTGCCCTTGTGGTCCTCAGCCCCTGCAGGCTTCCTAGAGTGCTGGGTGACTAAGGTTGGTCTTTGTCCCTGTGGATTGAGTTTTCGTGCGGGCCTGGGTTGCACGTGCTCGCTTTGCTGTGTAATAGCTAGTGCCTTGCGGGTTCTGAGCCCGTGTGGGCCTTTTATCCATAAGATCTTCTTAACTCTACGGGTTGCTTTCCCTTACGGTCTATAACATTAGGCTTGTACGTATAATAGTCACTATATAACCTTATTTTAATAGTCCACATTATCTTCTATACTTAGTCTGTAGCTGCTAGACCTGTGGCTACCCTCGGCCTAACTTCTAAAAAAAGTAGAGTAGCCTACGTAGAGAGGCTAAATCGCTAGTTCTCAGTCATCTATTTTTATAGTCGTAGTAATATAGAATATGTTTTATAGAATTAGGTTTTCTATTCCCTACTGGTACTTCTTAAGTCTCCGCAGTTTCTTCTCATTTATCTTACGTATAAATCTTTGGTCCTCCAATTACTCATCGTTTAGGTCTCCCTTCCTCGAATCATGTTCCTCGAGGCAATAGTTAGGTATAGTCTATACTTGTATACCAATTCTCTCATCCAAATATACTAGCCAGTTTTTTGCATAGTACTCTTTAATGACCAGTTCCTCCAGCCCTCGGATATCTCCGAAAACACGTACAAAGTCCAGGTTATCACCCAAACCCTTTTCTCCTATTCCCTTAGGGTCCACAACCCACCCAAGCTTAATACGGCATATGCCACTTGCTTCCTCAGCTAAGACATGGAGAAGCTGTAGCCATGGAAAAAACTCTGCCATCCATTGGGACCCAGATATGTAGTGCCTTTATCAACTTAAAGTTGACAGAACTAATTTGTATAACGAATCGAAACATCTGTTCCGGTTCACTAATAGCAAATATATTCTGTGAGTAGAGTATCGAGTTTGCCTCGTGATATACCTGCTTGCAAGTCTGCAGTATGCCTCGTTCTATTGTTCCGTGTTTTGGGCTTGAATTGTATTGAGTAAAACTAACTTTTGACCTTTGTTGCCAACTGCCCACGAAGGGGTTTGGGTCTTGTCGTATCAGCCTACGAGAAGATGCTCATAGGTGAGGACTCGGATTTCGACGGACAAGGTCAAGAGGGAGATTTCGTTGTTCCAATCGGCTTCGTTGGTAGCAGGAGGCCGAGAGGCATCTGGACGGCTCCGCCCGCGCGAATTTGCTGTTGTTGCGATCGAGGACCGGCCATCGTAAGAATCGAGATTAAAGAAGGCGTTGAAAATGTATTTTCGTAATCTATTTCGTAAAAGACATCCCGTTTTGCGATGGCAACATGGCTGCTCAAGGTCTACGAGTCGACCGCTATTTTTTAATGAAAGGTAGAGAGCGGGAAGACGGTAATACGGTGATGTTACGGCGCAGCACAGACGAAAAAGATTCCAAAATTTTCTTGGTTAGAGTATTTATTGCATTCTGGTGGGGAGGCGAGGTATATTGAGGGGCGAGATAAGGGAGCTCGCCCCAGAACGCAAAACCAAGTCGACAACAACACGAAGCAGAGCCGGCGCGCAATCATCCTGCCTAAACGAGTTAGTCTGGCGGCCCGGCCCCCGCCGTATAACCTGAGTTATTGCCAGCCTTTGCGCGGATGACGGAGCGCTCACATGATGCGTTAAGCCTGGTATACTATGCTGGCTCGCTCAGACGATATATGCAGCGGCTGGGTACTTAGGCAGCACGCGATGCGATAGGCTGCGGTCGCGGGAAGTGGGGTGAAGGAAGGACAGCGGCACAGTGCGACCCAGAGCAGCAATCCAGCTGTGACTGTTTGCCCTGCCTGCGTCGTAACGTACGTACCTGCGCCGCAGCCCGACGGACAGACCGGTGAGGACATAGAGGCAATTCCGCCTTGCCGTCTGCCTACAAATGCCGCTTCGCACACCTCCATAATGATGCATGCATTCACCCCACGCAGCGTGTAGTAAGCGCGCGTGCTACGCCGTTTCGTCTCTTGTTGCTCGTTTTGTTGTGCAGCGCTCGACAGCGGGGATAGGTGACGCGGCGTAGCGCTAGGCAGATCACGGCGCTGCGCTCGCCTGATGATCTGCCTACCTACCTGCTATCGCTACCAACTGCGCATACCCCACCGCAGAAGCAGGCTGTGGAGTAGTAGTCATGGGGCCAATCGCACAAAGCGGGGAAGAAATTATGATAAGGTTGTGCCGCACGTCTGCTTCGTTACAACCTTCGTAAACGTAATTCATAGGGAACTTTTTTTTTTTTTTTCAAAAGAAAAAATATCTTAGATGGAAGAATGTGTTGGGAAATTATATGTTTGTTCCAATGCCTAAGCGAATAGTGGAAAGTGTACGAAGCCTTTAAACTGTTTCCAGTCGAAGAGAATGGTTTCCTTCACGGTATCATTCCTTAATAGCCCGCATTCATCCTTATGTCCTCTCTCTCTCCAACCTGCTTGTTGGCATGTCTGTTTCCATATTCATGAGCAAATGCATATTGATGTTGGAGGATGATGTTTGGCTTTCAATGGCTTTTTACCTTGTTGCAGTACCAAGTGATGCCGCATCGTGAGCATTTCAGGAGGTCGTTTGATTCCTTTTGGCAGGTATGACAAGCTGGGCTGTTCTTGCTTGCTTCGGATCTAGTCTGCAACGTGTCGCTCAAGGCTAACAAGCGATGTAGTGGGAAAGGGATCACCTTGAAAGTCAGCGGCGGATTACTTTACATGCGATAACACTTACTCTAACAGCACTCATCGTCTCTTGTCGAATTCCTACCGATAGGTCAAGGAACCCGTGTTGATGGGCATAGAGTATTGCAAGAGTATGACCTTTCCGAAAAGATCCGTAATCGAGTAATGGATCTTGCGCATCGGGATAAAAAGCCACAGGAACTTCCAAACCTGACCTGTCGCGAACCAGTAGGCGTAACCTTAGAAAGTAAGTCACGTCAACAATCTCGCCTAACAGGCACCAATGGTGTTTTGGAATCCACCTAAATCCATCGCTCGAGGTGTAGAAGTCAAGTGAGATGTCATTTTCATCGGGACAACTTGAAAAGTCTGGGAAAAAAAGATCATTTCGAAGGTCGGCAAACATTTTACCTTTGCATCCGAGTGTAAGTTGGGGAACCAAGCGATTTATAGACTTTGGTACCTAAGAAGCCAAAACTTCTGCTTCTCTCTAGCGAAAAGTTGTATAACCTCATGTGATCGTTAGAGAGCTTGGCATATGCAATAGTACTTTTTGTTGCATGTCGTGGTTACACTACCGAGCTATGTTAAACATCATTGGTTAGTCTAGTCACGCATGATGCACTAGTTAATGAAGCATCCTAACAGGGTTATAATGCACATTAACAGTTCATACTCGCATTAGTATGAACGAGAGGCAAGTCAGTCCTGATATCCGGAAATCGTATTAAACTATTTAAGGGCGCGAGAAAAGAGTGGACGCCGCTTATCCTTGATTAACTCTATCTTGTCTAGAATATATACCAATCCTCCTGAGAAGGCCGCGTATTTGGCGAAATAGAAGGGTAGTCTTGTATAGAGTAGCAGGGGTCTGTTGCGATGGTGCGATAAAAAGCAAGTAAATCACGTGACTTAGGTAGTGATGGTTAACAGGTATATATGCTACTGTCTAGATGGAAACGTTTGCTCTTTGATAGCATTGTTTCCTTGCGTTGGATAATCAAGCGGTGTAGGGGTGTGAGGGTATTGTATAACAGCTAACTGTAAGGCTGAAAACGTGCGTTATCGAAGTAGTCGTTGCTGATACGAATTTATAGTCCGTTCCCGCCGCTGAAGCCCGCTATGCGGAATGTAAACTACCTACTAGAATTTGCTTAGTGTTCTTATTAATTAAGCAAAGGCGGCTAACTTCCGTTGCTTTCTATCTAATATCGCGCTAGGTGGCGTAGATCGGCAGTTTGCTAACCGATGTCCTTGCATAGTATCCCGACTCTATAGGGAAAACACCGTTTTAAACTTTACTTCTAAAGCCCTTTCTAAGCTCGGCACCTTTTGACATGAGATAAGTTTAGTTGTACTTATATAGAAAGAACTAATCCATGGTAAAGAACTGAATCAGTCTGGATTACGAAGAGTGATATCTAAAATATATCTATAGTTTCCTAGGTAGGCCGGTGCTCTTGTTTATAATATGTCAGCCAGGATCACTCCGATAACTCTCGTTTTTTCAGCCTTATTACAGTCAGTTGTTACACTACAGCCTTACCCCTTACACCACACGTTTATCCACTGCAAGGGAATAAGGATCTTAAAGAGAAAACGTGTTCTTTTAGATAGCAGCATATATACCTCCATAGGTAGTAGTAATTTAGGGGGACAAGCGGCGTCCAATTCCTCGCGCCCAGCTTCACATCTTTAAATTCTTCTTACTACCTAGCTACTATCTTCACGCTACTTAAGCTTATTAAAATCTCGTGAAGGCCGTTGCACCTAGGCGTTTAAGTAAACCCGTCATCCTATTATGTATTTAGGCTAAAAGGTAGTAGGAATACATTTCTAAAAGCATTTAAGGTAGTAAAGTCTCTTATCTTAGTTGGTGAAAAGGATTCTAGAAATACGATATTAACCTTGCAGCTCGTACTACTTAACTAGCCTTAGTCGGATGGTAAGATAATTGCCTGTACCCAGCCTCGCCATGATACTAAAATATACCGGAATCTAAAGTAATGTCTAGGAAAAGCAGGTTTTATGGCGAGTATCAGTTTAAAAAAAGCCATTAATCTTCGTCCATTCGAAAAACAACTTTGGTCAAACCTACGAAAAGAGAGAGTGGGAAAAAAAAAAAAAAAAAAAAAAAAAAAAAGACGTCAAGCATAATATGCTTAAAAATGTACTCTACTACTCAATGCTTTCAGTCTACCCGAAAACCGTGCCCAAAAAGCCTCGTCCTTGTTCACCCTCCTGATTTTCCGTCTGACGAGCTCTTTCGCGCTAAAAAACTATCAGTTCTTTTAGGCGCCATGATCTCGCGACCATTTCTGGAGGGCTCCCGAGACTTAGGTTGACGGGCAAGAGCGGATAGTAGCTTGCGGATAGGAGGTGTCGAAGCGGCTCTTTGTAATTCTTGCATAGCTTTCTCAGTTTCGACCTTCGTAATCACGGTCCCTCGAGTCAAGGGGTAAGGCTCGTCATCTTCCACGATGTAAATACGTGGAAAAACCATGAGGACAGCCTCATCTTCTTTTTTCCCAAGTACCAAAACCTGGTTGCCTTCTGGGCGACTAGACCCGGTAGATTTAGGTTGGATCGTCTTCCACATCGTCTTCCACTCAAAATCGTCAAACTGGACGAGCTCGAAGCTTGGTTCAAGGTGTTCCTTAAGCCGTTGGATAGTCCACCATGCATCTCGACCAGCGTAGACCAGTTTTCCAAGTTCTTCTTGAAACCTATCCATCTCATCCCGTGGGAGCAGGTTGCCGACATAAGATTTCATGCCCTGGAGTACCTGGGATACTCTTACATCAGCAGTAGACTTTTGCTCCTCGGGAAACATGCTCAATAGAAGCGCACGTGTGAATGATTCTTTCTTGCTGTTCAGCTTGGCTTGATGGTAAAATACTCCGCGTATTCCGTTGTCTTTCTCCAGGATATACGCTGGTTGGAAGATATGCTTGTCGATAAGCCTGGCCAGGATAGCAAGAATAATAGTAACGCGCATTGTTTTTCCGGCTGAAGAGTTCGACGCTGGAATAGGAACTTGGTGCTTGAAATCGGCTGATATCCTGAGTAAGGTTTAAGCATCCGACGCCTTAACCTGGTGTCAACCAAAGCTAATCCCACCAGCCTAACTGACGTACATGTAGGATGTCTATTGAGAGATCCTTGCCAAAGTAGGTCTCGACCAACTGGCTTGCGGATGACCATAAGACTTCTATCCGGTCCACACTACTGTCTAATTAGCACTCTAGGCCCGTTACTTATAACAAAGATCACTCACGGCTTGTCCCATTCTTCTTCCGTTAAAGGTACTCCTAGCTTTTTCAGCTCATCCAAGCTCTCGCACTTCGCGCGAAGCTCTTGTTCCAAACTCGAGGTCCTGTTTTGAAGACTTTGGAGTGACTGCTTTGTCATAGACATTTCCGTTTGCGCCTGCTTCACAGCAATGGCTGCCTGTGCATTTTCCGCCACTGTCTTCTTCACCTCACCCTCTAAGCTCTGTATCCTTTTATTCGCCTTGGTTAAGTTTTCCTTCTCGGCCATCCACATACTCTTTATTTGTCGGCCTTTTTCCTTCAGCTCGCTTTCGCTTGCTGTAAGCCGCGTAATGCTCTGCTCTTGACTCTTGTTTACCTTCTCCATAGCCTCGAGCTTAGAGGTGAGTGCGAGTTTCTCATCTTTGAACCGGTCGTATTCTTTTTCGTAGAGCCTGACTTGGTATCGACTCATTTTTTCACTTTCCTCCTCCATCCCTTGAATCTTCCCACGGAGGTTGTCGATCTCGCTGTCTTTCACATGAGCGGCTTCTTTGAGGCGAGGTACCTCGTCGATTATCTCCGCCACACTACGGTATCCTGTGTTCGATGCCAGTGTCCCGACTGCGGTCGTAAACCTTCGGGCGAGTTCGATAGAATCAGAAAGAGAATAAAAACTTTCCTTACACATAGAGCTATTTGGAGCCCCTTTTGGTATAGGCACCGCCTTGGGCAACATTTTCAGACAAGTATCAGGAAAGTGAAAAGATTTTTTTTAAGGATTGCTGTAGAGTGGAATTGAAAAACTATCAATTTCAATGCTTTTTATATCCCATTCAAGATAGATTTAGTTCCACATTCTCCCCAAGCGAGTTTTGATAAAGTTCTACAAAGAATACAGGCCGAGAAAGACGTGTTGATATTTTATTCGACGAAGCGCAACGCATGGAGCATATGGCGACATGGCCTGCATAGCAGTTGTAGAACATATTATGCACTGAACTGGACGTACAACGCGTATGCGCGTCGAGGTAAAGACTTCAAAGCTTCTGCACCTGTCCTCGTCGATGCCCAACAAATGAATAAAGAGATCTACCGGTTAGATACATCAAACAAGGTTTTAGTCGCTGGTTGGTGAAGTCCTGCAGTCATAAAAAATAGTGATTAAGTCTCTCTAAGATTATAATTCATTTGAAAAATTTATTTTTTAGTTCTATCGATAATAACTTAAAAATATAAACTCTTCATAGCCAGCCAAAACGTATATATATATGTTAAAAATGTGTTAGATGAAGATACGCTTGTAAGGTTATATAACTATGTCTTACATCTATTCTAACTACAGACAAGCGGGCAGTTAAGTTACTCTTTATAAGTCTTGTACCTCATCTACCGCGCACGAAAGGCGAAAGGTAGAAAATCAGTAACTCGCACACCTAAGACGTCAAATCACTAACGCCTAAGGGAATTGCCAAATATCATCGTCTAGATAGCGCACATTCTTAGTCTTGCAGTTTAAGGTTATAGAAGAAACTAGCTCCTGATATTACTCTCTTCTATTATTTATAAGAAGTAATACTGTCCGAGAACGCACGTGTCGTTCTAGATAGTAGTTATTAATAAACTAAAAAGTTAAACAGTGTCCCCTTTTCGTCACGCTGGCTCAACAGAAACGTATTGTTACGTGGGTACCAGTAAAAGGTAGCCACGCCTTATCGTCGTAAGCTCATCCCCATCAATTATGTAAAAATTCCTTTAGTAACCCGGACCACGGCCCGTAGCTCTTGCATACGTGCCAAAGTCAATGGCAATGGTTACCTTGATGTTATAGTACCTTACATGTATTGGTTGTGTACGACACTATATGTGCATGTCTATAATGCTAGCAGCATAGCACTACATCAGTTGTAATACATCCATAATCCTAGATATGACGAGGCACAGTTTCTTAAGCGCATGGTCTGGTGATTCTAAGGCGAAGCTCCTACCTTGCAGAAGCCAGGGGTAGCTAAGTGCAAGGGTGCGAATGATACTAATCAGTCGTGTTCATTCCTTAGCGCCCGTATGCGGTGCTACCATAATGCGTATGTCGCCACGATGTAGTTAACATGCATATCTCAATCAGTTACGTCATAAACCTCGCACCACCCCATCTGCGGCTGGAACGCACCGTTGCATGCAACGCATAAAAATATCTAAGCACGCCTTGGACCTTTCTCGGCTTACCTACTTGCTCTCGTTCATTCTGCCTTTTAGACATGCAGAATTTTGCTGCGGAAAATGAATTCACTTCCGATAACGGGAAATGTCTTGAAACGATTCGTCCAGGCTGCCGTTCTTCTTCATTCAATCGACCCTGTTCGAGGAGAGCCTATAGCATATAGCCTCGACCAAGATTCACATGAGCTTGCAGTCTCGCGGGAGAGTCTGCTAAAGCGCAAATTCCTCGATTCGGTCGCTCTTATTTGCGCTACAAAAAAGGACGCGGGCAGTGTCTCTGCAGCGTGTATAGAGGAGGGCCACCCAGATGGGACTGTACTGAGGATCGCCAGCAATGCGGGTGTACGCAATGATGTTTTATCGCAAATCCAGGAATTGGTTGGTCTACTAAATGACCTTTCGAGGACAGGCGAGTTTACAACATACCATAACCCTATTGACGGTACCCAATTTATAAACTAATTACCTAACCACAGGCTTTAACCCTTCAACTGTAGAGAAGGACATCTTACTTTGTATTATTAGACTGGACATGTCTAAGATCCGAGTATACTTGAAAACCATTGCGGATGCCAATATCGCCACTAAGTACACTATCTCGACTGTGGAGGCGAGCTTGGAAAATTCTTCAGAACCTAGCTCTGGGCAACATACTCTCCAACATTTTCTGGATTGGTTCGAACATGTTTATAAAATTGATGACGCGCCCTCGAATTCTAAGCCAGAGAGCTTATTGCAGCATTTGGCCTGGGCTCAAGAGGCGCGGAAATATTCTTCTGATTTCTTAAAGCAGATGTTTCCCATGCCAGGGCATTGGTTGCCTCGATGGATTTGCTGTATCCTGAAATTGGGTCGCTACAGTATTGCCGCCAAAGCGATGACGCACCTTGCTACGGAGTTTCCTTCCCTATTTAATCCCATGACGGTGGAACCTGTTGTAGTACCTGAGACAACGGCCTTCACCCCGCCTACTGGAGACTCTTTGCAATGTGTCCTACGGAGGATCGCCGGGCATCACGCGGATGAGTATATTTCCCGACTCGGCAGAATTTGGAATACAACGGATGCAGAACACTACTTCCTACGAGCCTGCTCTCGAAAGCTTACCGTCCATGCTGAGATACAACTTCTAAACTTCTACGATCACAACAAGCAACTCAAGCCCTTATTTCATTTTATCGGCGTGAGCAAGAAGTCGTGCTACCTATGTAACTTGTTTCTTACAATCCATCCGGGCGCCTTTATGGTGTCATCTTGCCATCAGAAGCTATACCCGTCATGGTCTCCTCCAATAGCAAGCGAAGTCTCCGTCTATAAGCAGTATAAAGGTCTTATCAACAATTTACGCAAGATCATGGAGGCTGCAGCGAACCAGGATCTCGAGGGCCGACTAGGCTCTCGACGACGAACCATCCCCGCGGATTCGACTGCCGGAGTTTCATTGACTGGCCTAATCATTGTCACCCCAACACGGCCGACCACTTCCAATTTGGACTTAGCGAGGAGGGAACAGTCAGTGCCTACTTCCGTGGCTTCGGAAGTAGACATATCCAGCCTTGACAATTCTTTGCATCGTGGGGAACCCGATGACAGGCTTGTACTCGCTACTTCAGGAAATCCACCCGATGGCCGAAGTCAACAGACTTTTCCTTCTGTCACTTCACTGCAATTTGTCTCAATAGCCATCCACTTCATGAGGGCTGATGATCCTACCAGGCAAGATATAATTTGCGTAAGGGATCTCATCAGCCCATTGACTAATGTTCCCTCATGGGGCAAGTTGATCAGCATTCTCGCAACGGAACACAAGCACGGGCTGAGCTTCAAAGAAGACCAGGACTATCTGATGGTTGATGGGCGGATACGAGTAGCTGATGAAAGGCAGTTTCTCGCTTGCCTTCAATATCAGTATAATTTGAATATCTTGAGCTTTAGAGCTTATGTTCACAGATTTCCGGGACCTAAAGCGGTACAGCCTATAAGTCGTAGCGTGTCAATCTGTACCGCCGGCGAGCAAGAGAAGCTATCTAAGAAGCGGAGGATAGATGAAAGGGATGTTATGTGAAGATTGGTGTATCTTTTTAGCGAGGCCTTAGGCAATTATAGTGTTTTTACAGGTAGGCTCTACAACTGTATGTTTGCGGAAGTTTTTATTAAACCAGCGCAAGGAAGAACGCTGATTATCCTTATTTGGTACTATCTATTGCCATAAATATGCTACTATATGGAGGGACACGTATACCCTTGTTAGGATCGTACCTGACAGTCGATTGCAATGTAACAGTGTAAGGGTGTAGGAGGAGTAGGCAGTTGTGACGAAGAAAGCAATCGGACCCGTGGTATCTAGATGCCAGCGGTTAACAGCGACTCGGCTACGCGATTTAGCCATGTCTATTTAATTCAAAAGACTTTACAAATTCTTCCACATAATATGAAGCATGGCCTTTTTAAGCTCTATGAAACGCTTTATACGCCTTTGTTGAACTATGTAAGTCACTTAATGTTAGATTATCAAGCCATCTTTCTTTGCACATTACTTTCTATATTTACTTTGCTTTTTCGATGTTTCAACAGCATACCACTCCACTGCTACCTTTTTTTATGCGAGCACCTGACTGGATCGCAATGTTTATACATAAAAGGCTCGCTACGAGTCACTCTCTGAAGAATCAAGCCCGCGTTCTCGTCTTCGCACGCACGGTTTAAACATGTGAACAAATCTCTTGTGATTCTGTTAATTGAAGTTTTATAGCAACACAGAATCCCTAGTGAAGCAAGAGAAAAGCCAGTGTATTAGCCGAAACCTTTGTTCTAACGAAGCAGGGTTGTATCAGCCGAAGAAAAATCATTGCTCTATTCATGCGAGGAGATCTTTTAGCAGGAGATGTGTTTCCTCCGAGAGCAGGATAAACAAGACTTCAAAAAGGCAAGTAAGAAACTCTAGAAATTGCTGAGTATGGATGTATGGGCCGGGACGAACGGCAAGCCCAAGTTTATTTGAGACTGTTAAGCACTATACACCACTGGGTCCCCCCTAGCCGGAAATAACTCCGCAACAATCGCAAACATAGGAGCATGTATATCTGGTTTGGGATATTGAAACACGGCATTGGATCGCAAATTTTTTTTCTGTAACCTCTGGCTTCTCACACAGTCCCACTGGCAAAAACGTGCGTGCATGCGAAGCTGCATGCCGATAAGGGGGATTTGGTTTAATGCATAGAATGAATCGAACATCCCTGTCTGTCAATCCTGCATTTAATCTCTTCCCGTGCTAATATCCGTGCGCACCTCCACGCCGCGAGCTACGTGCCGTAGACCCTCTTGTGTGCCACTACTGCTACATCTCCGCTTTGCCTTGTTGTCTGTTGATTTTACAGTTTGTAGTATGACACCTCGCCTTTATCACCCCTCTGAATCGTATTTCTATTACCACTTAGGCTTCTTGAGCTATAAGGTCGCTCGAAAGATAGCTTTCAAGAAACCTTGCCGCCTCATCGTTACTTCTGCAGGCTGCAGCTTCAAGACAAGGTATAAATCTACACACGACACTAGAGCAAAGGTTGATGGCGAACTGTGCCATAAGGAAAATTGGATTAACCAGATATTACGCACTCTAATGAACATATTTGCAGGGATAAAGAGGGTGTAAGAGCATAGGTAGGATGTTTATACTACATTTGCTAGTACTATCAGAACGACAAATGACCCGTAACCCAGATGTCTTTCTAGACATGAAAAACAACCATCAGCCCTTCTGCCTTGTCCACTGAATGATTTTCCCCTGCTACCCACAGAATACCACCGCCTTCACTAAGACCACAGATTTGTGGCAAACACTGTCACGGCTGTCCTCTGTTTTTTTCATCAATGCTGGCTGTATGCAATGGGTGACTAGCCCCTCCGATTGCTTCGGTGTTGACGGGTCTAGCTCCATCCACACTTCATCAAAATTCCAACCGCAGGCGTTTTCGATGTGGTAACGGACAGGCTGATGTGACAAAGCATCTTGCAGCTCAAAGGCTTGTTTGGCAATACGGAAGAGGGTTTTTTCTTGAGTCTCCGATCTACTAGTTGGCGCTAGACCAGAAAATAAGCACTCAATTTCAGCACGGAGGTGTTGAAACCAAACCAACTCGGTGATATCATCCGGTTTGTCGATCGCTCTGATGGTCATTAACCTCCAAAGATGGGAATTCCAACCTAAGTCATATATTAGCCTTTATAACAGGACGTTTGACCGAAAACTGACCGCAGTTTTGGAGGCATGCCTCCATTTGTAGAAGTTGACCAGATAGTTCCCTGGGAATGCCTGGAGAGAACAGACCGAAAACTCTATCGCATAGAATCTGGCAAAGTTTGTCTTGGATGAGGTACTTCATGGCGAGCGCTGGCAATGGCGGCTGTTCCATAGGTGATGGCACTAAGGGAAAAACAGCAGCATTCTCCCGAACTTCCTTAAAGTTGCTCCAGCACACTGACCGGATCTTTATAAAGAGTTTGGTAAATTGCGATGTACAGCTATAATCGTCAATTGGAGTATAGCGGGGAAACAGTTGTTCCACTTGAGCTACCAATGCAGAAACCCTCGATTCTGCGTGCTCCTTAGCAGTTAAGAGATCCGCTTTCTCTTTACTGTGAAGCTTTGCTTGTTGTCGAGCGCGTTCATTTGCAGCCATAGCCTTAGTTTGTAGAGCGTTGTTTCGCTCCCTATTGGCATTGATTATGTGATGTAATTGACGCTATAACCAATCAGTAAGAGTTGAAGACCCTGCGTTTTACGTACATCGTGGCCTAATGGTAACAGGCACAAAGATTGGTCATGTGGCCTCTCTCCATTTACAGGTATGGGTTTTGATTCAGAAGGTACACTGGGGATGACTTGAGAGCTTGAAGGCGCTGTCGCTCTCAGACCATTGTCTTTTGATCCCGAGGTTGGCCGAGAGGGCCATCTCCCTTGCCATGGAGAGGCTCCGTAAATCGTCCATTGAAGGGGCTAAAAAACATCATTTTCTTTGATCTTACTGAGAATCGAGCAGTCTAGGCATGGCTTTATAGATGACGGATAAACTTTATCAGGAAAGCCGTACGAAACTCCATTCTTGAACCTATTGAAAAATCGTATCTTTGGAATGCTCTATACTGGATTCCTTGCCTCTGCACTAAATGTTAAGCATTCCTCCAGCCCCTCGCCCCCTGGCTGGCGTAGTATTTATACAGTCTCTACAACGATACTTCCCAGTCCAAGAAAAACAGAATGGCGCAAAAAATCCTGATAATAGCGATTAACTTCGGGACGACTTTCAGCGGGTAAGCACTTCGAGATTAGCCATGTTTGAAATGGTAATAAACTGGTTTTAGGATAGCATGGGCATCTCCGACCAATGCAGACGAGCCCGAGATCATCACCGCATGGCCTGGAGGTGGTAACCGTATGCATGTTCCTATGTCCGGATTCTATTTCCATTACTAAAAGAGTATAGGCACATCCGACAAGGTTCCTACAACGATCACATATAACTGTGCTGGAGACGGCCGACAATAAATTATCTGGGGCTATCAGATCCCGCAGCACAAAGCAAAGTTGTCTAAGTTCAAACTATTGCTAGACGAAAGTCAAGATGACAGACGTCAATGCGCTCAAGAAGCGAAGGCGCTTATGGACAACCTCGAAAAATCCGCGGTTGATGTCTCGGCTGACTTCTTACGAGCCATTTTTAGAGTGGCCAAACAACAGTTAGAACGTAGATACAGCCTGGAGTTCGTAGAGTCTTCGACACTGCAAGCTATATTGACAGTACCGGCAGTCTGGTCTGATAAGGCCAAAGATGCAACACTAAAAGCAGCGAACAGGGCAGGTCTGGGGAAGTACGAGTTGACAATGTTGTCCGAACCCGAAGCAGCAGCGCTCTACACCCTCAGAAGTATTCGCCCAAATGATATGATGGTAGGTGTACTGCACTATCACTGGTCAGTACTAATCGTTACTAGGTGGATGATGCGTTCGTAGTTTGCGATGCCGGCGGTGGAACAGTCGTAAGTTGAGAGACAGGGTATGCTGACTGGCACTAAAATTCTGTAGGATTTGATAACCTACCGGATTAAAGCTGTAGACCCCCTTGAGCTTGCCGAAGTGGTTCCGGGTTCTGGGGGTCTATGCGGCGGCGTCATGCTTGACGCAGAGTTCGAAAACCTTGTCAAGAGGCTGCTCGGTACTAAGTGGGATCAAATCACTGCCAAAGAAAGAGGTGTTATTATGAATGCCTGGATTGATGGGATAAAGTGCAGCTTTGGGGGTGTTGACGATGATCTCGATGAGTATCTGTCAACCATCACCACTATAACTATATTATCTCGCTTAGCACGAACCCTGTCATCACTTTGCTTTTTCAACATCATGCCATTCTCTCCTATTAGTGGAACGATAGTCACCTTTCTACCTAGGGAAGTCGTGTATTTAAGCAGACAGTTTCACTCAATTTAATGCGACAGCAGTGTCCAGCTTTCTCGCTCTGTTCAACAGATACTCTTTCACAATTAAACCGCATTCTCTCTTCACTCGCACGGTTTCACCCTACAATCCAACAGAAACCAATCACAATTGGGAGACCGTAACCGCCCATTGCGGCACTCTATAGGATAGCGAAAGTGCTACCAGCCACTACGGGTAAGATGGCTGACTGTATAGCTACGGCGGTAGTACCTGCATTTCTCAGTTAATTATAAGACCTTTAAAATCGTTGCCTATTTGTTTTTTGTAAAACCCAGCCGACATAGCTCACCAGCAACAGGACCGACAGCAGTGAAGCCGATAGCTGTCAGCACGTAAGGGTCAATAATAGGGACGAGGACGACTGGAAGTATACTCAGGAGGATAAACGCCGTTTGGCAGGGATGACCCCGAATCCAGTTTTTGCAGGTCTTTATCTAGATATACACCGCGGCTATGCTACGCCTTGGACCCAAATATTATGACCAATTTTAAATGGACGCCTTTATACTTTGCTGCTTGCAGCAGCCGCTCTTAAACACTGGGATCTAATATATCGAGAGTGGGAGAGCAGTGCAGATGTTGTTCGAAGCTGGGGTGATCCTAGAAGTCCACAACCATGTTGGCGAGACGCTAGTATTGGCGGCTGTTCGGTCGAGCCTCTCGAAAGTCCTTTCGAGCCTGCTGGAGATACCGATGACAGTGATAGTGATTCGGACGAGGACTTTGGAAGGTCTGGAGATGTCTTTATCGATTTCTCGAAGTTTTATAGGACCGTGTAAAATATAGTTTTATTTTATTTTATTTTATTTTTTTTTTTTTTTCAATAATCGCATCAATGGCTAAATTTTGAAACGAAATCAAAGAAAGTGATCAAAGACGGTGCTGTAGAAAAACATTAAAGTAAGCGAAAGCAAAGCCATATTAAAAGCCCCAGGATATGCATTTATTGTTTATCGTCTTCAAAATCGAATTAACAATGCTAAAGTAACCCAGTACTGCACCATCCAACACTTACGACAGAATCTTCCTCCCTTTCTCCAAATCTTCAATTTCCTTCATCAGCTGCGTCCGCCTGCGCTTGACCAACGTATCATCCTTGGCAATCTGATCCAGTTGCTCTTCCGATAGCTTACTTACAAAAGTGGGAGAAAAAAGCTTGAGAGGCGTGTCGGGGCCGGAAATGAGATGGTATGTGGCTGCTTGCATACACAAAGCGTCTACAACGCGTTTACGTGCAACCTTGTAGTATGCCTTAAGTATGTCGTGGAGCTCTTGGACGGTGTGTTGTTTGTTGCTCATGGTGTGGGTTTGCTTGATGTCATCGAGCCTGACCAACATTGAGTTGGAGTAACATGAATGGCTGAATGACTTTTTTTCTGCCACCTTGCGGTCGCGCTCCTGCCGGCTTATTGTGGGTTAGTGTGTAGGCAGCTGCCAGTGCATATATCAGTGTACTTACAACTTTTGCAGATTTTCGTTGAAGTAATGGTTTTGGGTTGCAGGAACTCCGAGTCTTTCCACCTCAAGGATAAACCTCACGTGCTCAAATGCCTTCTGGTACCTCTCTACCAGGTTTTCCATGAGAACAGACTTGATTTTCTCGCGGACATTGCCATTCGGGCAAACGTGCTTGAGGAGTGTGTTGATGAAAATATGGGTTATTACCACAATATCCGAGATGTAACCAAGCGCCAGGCCGTCCCAATTTTTAGATTGTGCTTTCATCGTCATCGCAAGGAGGGATGGATCGAACTGGCCAAGCTCAAAACCACGAGAGTGGGTGTAGACGTGCGTTATCCAACGTAGGATGCCGTTTTGTTTCGGGTAAGGCAGTTTCGACTGGTGATAGAGGATATCGTCAAGCTCTTCAGCATCTTTCGATTGACTGAGAGTCCCGTTCTCTTTTTTCACTTCTTGATTGTGTTCTCCAATTTCCTCTCCGTTGATTTCCCCTTCAATATTTTCTTCTTGGTCCCAACCTTCCTTGAACTGGTAGGTGTGACCATACAGCGCGAAGGATTCGGAGAGCTCCTCGTTGCGGTTCACGACTAGTGTAGCGATTTTGAGATCTGGAAGCTTTGTGAAACAGTCGTCAAAATATTTTGCGTCGAGGGCTTTGTTGGTGACGATCTGGAAGTTGGTAGCAATGTCGATGAGGAACCTTGACTGCTCCGCTGGCGTGTCACGCTTCGGTCCAAGCTTTTCTAGTGACTTCTTACATTCCTTAAGCTTCTTGTTGACTTCCGATTTGACCTTTACAAGTGTTAGCTCAGAAATATTGTAGTGGGCAACTTTAACATACCTTCGGAAATTCTTGACGAATATGCCTCGCGAGAAGCTCTTGCAGCCGTTCTCTCAACGACGTCACACCAACACGGTCCAGTGGTAGGCTATTCCAGGGTGCTTGAGTTTTGAAATATATCTCTTCTGAGGAGTACCGGTCGAATTTGGGGTCCAGTACGTCTTTCTGCCCGGGGTTTTTAACTAAACACCATCCAAGGAATAGTTGGTGTGACCTGCCCTCGACCATGTCCACTACATTGGCCTCAGCACCTGGGTCTACAAGATCAGGCTTTGTGAGAACACCCAAAGTTCTCTGACCCTCTTTGTCGACTTCCTCGGCCATTTCCAGGATCAGCTGTGTGGCAGGATCTACGTTGGCCGGTACCACAGTGAGCATAATGGAGCGAGGATTTGCCATGTAGGATCCGACCATGGACTTTACGAACGCCTTGTCTTCTTGAGTCGTCAAGTCCTTGGTGACACGCTGGAAAATCCCGGGTACGTCGATAACGGCAAAGTGTTCCTTGTCTAGACCTGCGACCTCGATGCTCAAGACGTCCGAGGAGAATGTCTTAAGAGGGCCTCCACCCTGGGACGAGACGCCCATAACTTCCTGCGCCTCGCGCATGATGTCTGCGAATGTATCTTTGTCGAGTTTCTTAATATCCGTTTTTTTCCAGGCACGTATAGTTTCAACATGGTCGGGTAGAGCATCTTTTCCAGGAATCACGGAGACAGAGACCGATTTGGTGGTCGCGCGACGGAAGGTAATCTGTGTTGCGAACCTGGTGCACAACCCGCTGTCTCGTGGAAATGGGAGACGCGTCAGACCTTCGAGAACTGAGGATTTGCCGCTGGATTGATCTCCGACAACGACAATCTGTGGAAGGTCGATGTGGTGGCCGACATTGCAAGCAAAGAGTTTATCGATCTTTGCAAGCATGGAAGGATCTACGAGGGAATGAACGACGGTCTTTGTCATTATGGGTAGATGATATCGAATGTTTCGTGGCACGTGTGATTGTAGATGGACTTGAGGAAAAGGGTTTTGGTTACGAGAATGAGAACTGGCTTTTTCTCCATTATATACGCACTTCTCCGCACTAGGACCCCACACGTTCCAATCCAAGCACCTTGCTTATTTATCACGGCCCCTGCTTCCTTACGGGAGACCAAACACAAGCGCCCTTGCTGTGTCAAAACTAGCCAATAATACGTCAAAGAGCGGCGAAAAAACTTTAGGTGATTTCAGTGCCGCAAAACCCCTGTAAAAACGCACCGCCCGCATGTCTCCTTACCTCGCTTCCCAGCTACTCAAGCATCCGCACCACAATATGTTGTCTGTCAGTGTGTAGTGGCATGAGAAAATCGTGCTTTACTTCATCACTAGCACCGTTTTAACGCAACCAGAGAAATGCTTGAGTTTTAAAGTGTAAAATGCATATTTGACGTCACGGCAGAAGGCTCCGGAGAATTTGTCCGCCCATCAATTATGTATTAATTAAAATCTACTATACTACTGAGAGATATAACTACCTACAAGCGTATAAGTCAATCCCACGAGGGTACAAAAACAAAAATATGTATAAGATATAAGATTACTCGAGTCTCCAAGAGTAAAACTTTATATACTTTTATAGGTGTATTGTCACGTAGGGCAGGCAAATTAATATTCGGAGCTTAATAAAAGCTTACACAAGTCTCTATTTATTCTTAATACCTCGTTGGAGGAGATAAAGTATAAGCTAACTAGAAATTTCTGATCTAATATCAAGTCTCTTATTCATATAGAAATCCCTCCCTACTATATTCCATTAGTAAACTTAAGTCCTAATACTTCTTGAAGGGTTTAAATTATACCTATTAGGGATATAAATAAGAATGAATTATCCGCTTTATAAAAGAGTGGCTATCTAGGTGGCGCAGCGTGCGGGGTTTGAGCGAAAATCTATTGGTGTTGGACCCTGGGCAGCATCCCGTGACGACGCACTGTAGCTCGAGCCAGCCCGCAAGGCCTTCATCGTCACGGGTGCAGCGCGTGGCTTAATTAGCGCATGTTGCCACACCGACGAGCAGGAGGCGAAACTAAACCCACTCTAGTACATGGAGGCATTGCTGTGGCCATGATGGTTAGCCACGTATCCGTACGAGAAACAAGTCGTTCATACGCAACGGCGTCATGATTGAGGCCCTGTCCACCGCACTAAGGTACGTGGATAATAGAGCTACATGCGCTCTTCATACCAGCCATGCGCCCATGGCGGTGTATCTTCAAAGCGCACGAGCGGGGGAGCGAAAGAGTCCTTGGTGCGGCGGGGCATAGGTGTTGAGCTGGTGATGAATGGCTTGTGCTGTGCCGCTGGCACGGAGGGAGCCCGTCTTGAGCGACGAGAGAGCTCGCGGCCGCGGAGGAGGGTAGAGTGAGCAGCTTCAAGGCTTGCTTGACCGGCAACACGGTCGGGATTGGACCGCCAAGTCGACGCTATGGTTTTTCCCGTTAGACGTCGTGGTGTTAAGGTGAGTAGCGGTGACGGCCCTACCGCCTGCCTGGCCAGCTCATGTTACACCACTAACGTACGCCAGCTGCGCAACAACAATAATGCCTTCGCCGTCCCCGCGTCCATCGCGCACCCATCGCAACATGCTCGCTCCCGGGAGCCGCAAGCGCAAGCGCTCTCCATCTCTAACTCCAATTTCGTCGAGAACCTAGCCGCGCGCTCGATCTATAAGAAACGCGGCCTCCCTCTCCCACCGGCGGTAACCGCACTCGGCGCCAAAGTCACAGAATGCCGTGACGGCCCACTAACTTCGATGTCCACCAGCGTCGCCAAGCTTTACAAGGCCCTTCAACCCGATCGCGGTTAATAGGAAGATGACTCTATCGTACGGCTATGCTATGCCCTATTCTACGGTGACGCCTTCGACGTGATCGATACCGAGCCCGATGCCTTGCGCTGCATGAACAAGCAGTGGGCCGCGGCGTCCCGCACCAGCGCCGTGTATCTGCCTCGACCGAAGCTCGCCCTGACCTATGGGCAGCCAAGAGTGTCTTTCACAAACAAGGAGTTAAGGTCTTGAGATCTGGGGCCTGCGACGCGCGTCGTAGAACTTAAACCATGTGGACTGCCCATTCGTCCTCGGTTTGGGCCACAACAAGCGCTCTCATTACTGCGAGCCTTTCATTAACTTCAAAGATCAGGACTCTTCTACTTGCTGCTTATTTTACTGCACCTCCAGTTTCCTCCTCTTGGCAGGATTACCGGCGACTCGATTTTAATCTCCATGCCTCTTAAGCCGCCAGCCCGGCTGCGGCTCCTGTTACGGTATTATCCAGCATGCCAAGGTTATGACCGGCCTCGATGGCAATGCTTTGCAGCGATAAGAGAAAAGAGATGCTGGGCGCTTTGGAGGGAACTATAACGACCGTCACATCTAGAGCATTGACAGCATGGAATGGCTGCTGGGAGCGCTGTGTATCTCGGTCAGCTACGCACGTCGGCGAGAGCTAGAGCCGCGTAATTACCATGGCCGTAGCAGAAAACGCTGGGTCGCGCTCCCAGCACTGCCCAGAGACGTGCCAATGCAATCTCGAGCACCACGACGCTGATGACAGAGTTGACGGAAGGGGATCAGCGGCTCATGCCTGCCTTCTGCAGCACGTGGCGGTTGGTGTCCATTTGGGGACCGACCCACAGCGCCGAGCACGTTCTATGCGCTGCAGTTTAGAAATAGTACTATCTGGTAGGATGCCTGCCACTTCCAAGGTTTCGTACGCCGGCGAGAGCATGAGCTGGCGCTCTTTACCTTGCGTCAGAGTTACAGTGCGTCCTTACATGGAAGAGGTAGTCGGTTATTGTGGTGGACCGCGTACACGTGGCCGTCTTACTCAAGCACCCTCTAAATAACTCCAAGGCCGTTGGTACTCCCTGGTAAATGATATGCCCTATCATGCCAACGATAGTAAACTTCATATCGACAAGATGCTGCTAGCGAAGGCTAAAATTGATGGATACCAGTAAGCTTTTGCTGTTCTGGGCGAGCTTGGCGTCAGCAGTAGGAGCATAAGAAGTGGGTTAAATGAAGCAAGGTGGCGGCACTCGATAACAGCAGCATGGCTCAGAATGCTGGCAGTATGCAGATGCAGTACACGTGGCATAGAGATGGAATAGTACAGTCGGCGCAAGCGCTTAAAGGTGGTATTAATCGGCAAGGGCCGTTCACTGATGCTGATCGGTGCCTTGTTGGCGGCGTTGATGAAGACTTTGGTACAGCAAGGGCTGGCCTCGCCCGTCTCCAGCTTTACCTGTACGCCCTCTCGGCCCTGTTTTGTACCACGTCGCCCAAACTGCCCGACGCTTAGTCCGACTAAACTTGTCATTGTCGATTTCGGCCACTAGGCTATTGGTAATCACGGCCCCTAAACTCCTCATGCTAAACGATTCCGCCTTTTTTCTAAAATTATGATGAATTTGGCAATGCGCGTAATACGGAGAGAATCTAAGCCGGTTCAGCTAGTGTTATTACTACTCGTTTCTCGTTTCTCCTACATATAAAGCTGGAAAGAAAGTGTTGAAGTGTACGCAGCTTATATTGCTTTTTCTGTGGCTTATTCATTTAGCACAGGGTATAAGAGGACTCCGCCTACCGGGCTCCTAACAAGATCATGCCACACTCATTGCTATTAATTGAAACCCTATTAATTGCAACAGAAAGATAGGAAGCTTATTTCGAGAAGTTTCCATAGTTTTATATGTCGCTTGATTACCATGCACTCACGTGCGCGCCGTGTACGCATGATGAGCTAGATCCTACCGAAGAGAAGGTTGGATTCGAGAAATGAATCGAACACCCTTTTCTATTGAATCTCGAGCTAAAAGGTCCACTAGCGCTAGTTCTAACTTGTGCATGCATGCCTTGCATTTAGGACAACGCGCGTCGTAGGGATTCAAAGCCCTGTAAAATAAAGCAGAGTATGAACTGAGAATAGTCGCTAGCATTTTGGTCACTAAAGCGTGGCCCGCGTTCCAATGACGCATTATCCTTACATAAATTGCTACGCAAATATTACAATGCTTGCAGGTAAGGGAACAATGCGTATATAAAGGCTCACTTGCAAGCTTTTATTGAACATCTACTATTTCCAAAGATAATTGATTAGCTTCTTTGACCCATCATCAACTTCAAAATCTGGATCTCATGTTTTCCTGCAACTGCGGTCGACACTTTTACGCTTCTCGTGCACTGGAGCAGCACCAGAGAGCCAAGCGCCACTTTGTTCATGCTAGTCAGTTCCGTTGCTGCGACTGCGAGCGAGACTTCATCAGCGAGCGGGCTCTAGAACAACATTTAACAGACAAGATACATAACATCCCACAACGCCGGACCTCAGACCGGTTTTGCGAGCAGTGTAACCGCGAATTTGGAAGCGTTCGGGCGCTAGAACAGCACAATAGTTCGCTTGTCCATCAACCGCTCAGCAACATCAAATGCATCGGCGGTAGATCAGGAAAACGGGGATGTCAGCGCCGCTTCAGCAGCCCTTCAGCGCTGCTACATCATCTCGAGAGTGGCGCTTGTTCATCAGGTCTCAACAGACAGAAGCTGAATGCAGCAGTACAAAAAAATGATATCGACCGAACTATTACAAGTTTGGAAACCTGCATCGGCGACATACCAGGAGAGACCTCTCGGGTACCATATAGTGCTCAAGGGTCCGCCTTCGCCACACCTTCGACCATCTCAATAGCTGGCATTGAATTTACACCTGCTACTAGCACCACTGGATCTGACCTGCTTCAGTCGCAGATCCTAACCCTTCAATCAGGAAATTCAAACTCTTCTTTTCCACTTTCAGGGTCTAAAGCCTGCCCGTTTTGCCCATCATCTCGTCCTCCGTTCTCTACAATTGCGTCCTTAAACCAGCATCTCTCGTCGCCAGCTCACGACCCTAGGGTATTTCATTGCCCAGTATCCCTCTTCTCCTCTACAGAAAAGTCGAAAGCAAAATCCTTCTCTACGCTCAGCGGCCTAACGCAACATCTCGAAAGCGGAGTATGTGGAGAGGGGCTAGGAACGCTTCGGAAGGCAGCTGAGCTTTTAGAACGGAAACTTTATGAGATGGGGATGAGAAAGGTTAAAATTTTGAAGTAGAAACAACCAGTCACGAAGTCTGGATTGAGGGTAAGCGATACCTACCGTTATCACTGCACGATACTCAGCAACAGGGCTTGGGAGGGTGTGGAACCTTTCCACTGACAGACGTTGGCGTGTAGTATTATCCTACTTAGGAAACCCAAAAACCTTACATCAGTCTTCAATGGATCTAATTGTACGAAAGAAAGCTGGAGGATTACAGGGAAGAGTGTAGAAGAGTATAAGGTAGAGTAGACGATAAGTATGTTGAGGAGCCAATTGTTACGATGCTGCTTATTAGGAGGTGATGAACCTTTAATAAAGAAGTTTGTTTAATACTGTTTGGATTCTATATATACTATTTCAATCTTCTTTTTCATTCGCCTATGCTATAGACAAGTGCTCGAGCTGCCGAAAAGTGTGAGGATTAATCTAGAATACTACTACTAGCGACTATCTGATCTTCCACGCTTGTATACAGTAGGCAGGCTAGCGGCGAAATAGGATAGTAATATGAAGATATATAATGTCTTGACTATGTCGCAATCATATGACTAACAAATTTCAATCAGTCTAACGAGTGATATGGGTAATGAGCATGGGTTCAGCTTTAGGCGTTTCCACCCTTTCTACCGACATTCTCTAGTAAATCTCTTTTGAAATTCTTTTACAGTCGTGCGTGCGTCCTTAAAGTTTTAAGTAATGCTCTATACGTGTGCGAAGCTTTTGGAAAGGGAAAAAGTAAAATTATACACTATAATCCAGTTCGTTACCGTGTCAACCGGCACTAATTTTTCTATTATAAGCGAGATTATCCATTCTTACCTTTTATCTACTATCCTACTACAATCCTTTTATGAAGAGAATCGGAGAGTTGGTCTGGCTATACAGTTAATTCTAAGCCCGTTTTAGATTATAGAAGACTACGGAATTCCCAACCAAACGCGGATGTCATAAAAATGTATCGTAGATGATGAGCATAATGCTACAGGTTGAAAGTATTTGTGGACCCATCTCCGGTAGTATAGTATTGTAGAAGCGGTATGCAAAGGCTTTAGAGAACCTACGTAGCCTACAGGCAGCGGAAAACACTTCGAGAATTGTTATTCATCTTCTTCAACCAGCATGACTATCCACGACCCCTTTATTCCAAACACGGCTATAAACAACCTAACATCGACTAGTCCAACACACCGGCTCAACCCAATTGACCGTATCAGGGCCAACGGAATGGGCGACTATATTTCTCTTCCTCAACTCGTGGTTTGTGGTGATCAGTCTGCAGGAAAGAGCTCGGTTCTAGAAGGAATTACTGGAATACCTTTCCCGCGACAAGATGGTCTTTGCACCAAGTTTGCAACAGAAATCATTCTTCGACACAGCTTTGAAATTTGATATACTACAGCCTCTATAATTCCTCATCTATCTAGAAGCGAATCTGAGAAGGAGCGGTTCTCTACTTTTCAACGGGAACTTTCTGATTTCTCCGATTTGCCGTAAACAATCTCGGGAGCCGCGACTAAGTTACAGCTCCATGGCACTGGAAGCATTACTGATGGCCCAGCCTTTGCTGCCGACGTGTTGCGTATCGAGGTCGTTGGGGACACGGGACTTTACTTAACGGTAGTTGACCTCCCTAACCACATCTCGGTAGCGAACGAGGAACAAACTGAGGCCGACATCGAAATGGTTTACAGCCTTGTTAATACATACCTGGAAAGCAGTCGGACTATCATTTTAGCTGTTATTCAAGCAAACAAAGATATCGCCAATCAAGGTATCATCCATCGAGCACGCCGGCATGATTGGGACGAGAAGCGTATTGTGGGAATTATCACGATGCCAGATTTAATTAATCGCGGTATCGAGGGACGCATTGCTCTCCTAGCTAGAAATCAAGACACTACGAAGCTGAAGCTTAGGTTCTTCTAAAAAACCTAGATCCGACACAGTTGGAAAGCGGTATCACACTTGCAGATCGCAAACGCCTCGATTAGGTACACGATCCTCGATTCAGAGCCGGAATCTAAGCGTAGACAGTTAAATGTTAGCAAAGAGTACGATAGATGGATCAAAGAGGTAAAGATGCCCTTGAAAACATTTTGGCTATGCTGACGTTAAAAAGGTGTACGTAAGAACTAGGGACAAGAAACTTCCGGGAAACTATAACCATTCCCTTCTGCCTGAACTGTTTCATAAACAGTCCTCTCTCTGGGAGAGTATCGCCTTGAGTTACGTCTAAGCAGTATTATACCTCGTCGCCAGCTTTTTAAAGAAAATACTCTGCCAAACAGTCGCTGAAGATTCTGTCCGCGAGGAACTGTATTAGTTGATCGCGTCAAAACTCGAAAAGAACAACAGGGTCGCAGACGAAGAACGTAAAAAGCTTCTCAGTAACGAGAAGTGCCAACCGATCACGTATAACTATTATTATACGAACAATATCCAGAAAGCAAGACAAGAGCCGCTAAAAACCTCTATCGGCACATCCATTAAGTCTATCATGGAAGAGGACTGGAATAGGAAATTTCATATCAGCAATACCTCTATAGATGCTGAAAAGCTTCTAGCCGCAATGCAAAAGCGCGTCGTTGTCACCATGGATAAACAAGCTTTCGCCGAGGCTGCCGCAGAACTTGCTAGGTATTATAAGGTAAATGTTGTTCGAGCGTTGAATCTCTTCCATAATGATAATATAAGCAGGTGGTATTGAAGACTTTCGTCGACAATATCTGCCGGCAGGTCTTTGAGCGACACGTAATTGCTGAGCTTCCTAATGTGTTCTCTCCGGCTACAGTCATAGGGTTCGGTAATGGCGATCTTGTGCGTATCGCTTCTGAACAGCCTTGTCAGACAGAACGCCGGGCGAAGCTGAAAAGGCTTGTAGAGGGTTTGAGAGAAAGTCTTAAGGAGTTGGGGAGATAGGATGAGCTTTCTTTCCTTGGTAGTGGTTAATGTTCTCTTCTTCCTTCCCTTTCCTTACAGAAAGCCTCGGTTTATTGCTAGATTCTATTTTCAATCCGCTACATTTGGTTTTCCTCACTTCTTCGGGAGGGGTTTCCAAATTTATTACGTAAATGCGAGAGGGGCTTTATACAGTACGCTGTTAGTTCAATTAAACGTTGTTAACTATTACCGTGCAAGTACCACGTGTAGGTACGGTATTTTCATTCTCCCTCAAATCGTCCTTTTCTTCTAACTGCAAGGAATAATTTTAGTCCATACCTATAACTATACTCTCCTAAATACTAACAGATTAAGGGCTGTACGTTTTCTAGTACTAGATCTTTAAGATGTAAGGTTGATGCCAGGGGATAACTTCTACTCATGCAAAGTGTTTAGTTAAAAAAGCCCTTACGCTAAGATAGCTCTAGTGTGTCTTAGAGAATTTTCCTTGCCTACAAAAGAATTGACAGTACTTTATATATAAAACTAGAGGCAAGTGGAATGCTAGCGATACTAACTCTCGATTATTTCATGCTCGATCATTCCATACTCTACAGGAGAGAATCAAAATGGTACAAAATTTCTCTCTCAGACATTGCATTCCATTTTCAAGGTTGTTCCCAATCAAGCCGGTGCTACGCTCTCTCGGACCACTTGGCAGTTCCCTTTACACGATCTATGATTGTAAAGTTTTCAAGAGACACCTCGAGGGGCTTTCAACGGGCCTAGGAAACCACATCACGCGGCGGCAGAACAGAAAATCCGTTATCTTAAAGCATCTGCCCTCACCATCATCAACACCTATCTCTATAGCTGAAAACGCGACGTCCGCTATTGCCGATCACGACGATATAGCCAAGTCGCTATCAACACCGCTTTTAGTCTATTCGGACGGCAGCTTGGTTAATAAGAAACTCGCTGCAGCTGCTGTAGCACCTTCCATCGATATAACCTCGCAAGCATGCTTGGACCGAAAAAGTGGCTTCACGGCAAACACAGCCGAGCTTGTAGCAATCTGGATGGCCGTTGATATTGCCACTCAAGCCAAACACCAAGAGGCTGTAGTTTTCACCGATAGCCAAGCAGCTCTCCACATGATTCGAGATACGAAAAGAGCTTCAAAGGATGATATCGTCAGACTAGTTACCAGAAGCTTAGCGGATGCTCATTCTACGGGGTTAAATATCAGGCTGCAGTGGGTGCCCGCACACAAAGGGATCCTTGGGAATACTAAAGCAGACAAACTTGCAAAGAAGGCGGCAAAGTCACAGCCGAAAAGCTTGTAAAGACGAAAGGAGAAGCACATACATTAATTGAATTCTAAAGTTTTTCACGCAATACAGAGGCAGAAGGGTTAAGTAGCGCCTAAATTACCCATAAGCAAAGCTTTTTGCGCCAAAGGAGGAGAAGGCATTACCTACTTTCTAGAAAGCCCAGCACCCGCATCCATTAGCTCACTGCTTCATAGCTAAACCTTAGCACCGCAGGATACGCCATGCTTTCATACATCCTCCGCTCTGCTCACCCACTCTTCTGATAGCTCTTAAAAAAAAAACTCAATAATTGCCCGGTCATTCTCGGTCCGGTCAAACCTGTTCCGTCTACATCAGGTACAAACTCGGAGGTGACGTGTGCGGCACTCAAGGATAAAGTGTGGTAGTATAACAGTGCACTCCTCGCACCGATGGCGCCCCGGCAAGCTACACCAACGGGCGTGCACATATTCGTGGTGCTGCTGCAGCTGGCATATAGGGTCCCTAATGTCAATGACACCGTAAGGTGTGGGAGGGGATGCCGGAACGGAAGCAGGCTCCGGTTTAGGACGGGGCGACGTTGGCAATAGTATTGGTGGGTACTAGAGGCGATTATAGCTCGTCACGCCACGCAGACGAAGTAGTGGGCTCATTTTCTTCAACTTCCTCCACAACGGCGTTACCGTCGCTGTGATCGCCGTGGTCAGCTTTGGCTGCAGGGTCGCGGGCCGCAATCTTCTCCGCCCTGGCGAGCAAGCGATATGAAGCCAAATATTCGCAGGTGCATGCTCTCCAGCGTTTGCCGCAGACGTAGCAGAACTAGGCTCCGCAAATACATCTAGGGTGATTCGGTAAGCGAGAGCAGGCGATGGGAAAGGTGGAAACTCACGTGATGTGGTAGCAGCCGTACTGAAGTTGGACGATTCGCCAGCAACTATAGCAACGCTGCCGGTGATTCTCGGCCGCGGTCTGTAGCAGCCGATGCAGTGCCGAGTCGCTAGGGCAATTGCCAGCGTGCGCGGCGGCCTTGCATGTGGTGTAGGTGCGAATGCGACAGACGGCGTACACGGCGACGTCGCCGTGAATATTTTCTCGCAGGATAAAGGCAGAGCAGCCGGGTGCGCAGCAATACGTGCGGTTCGGCGTCTCCCACTTCACGCGCTTCTGCCCAAATGCTCGCAGCGTGGCCGGCGGTAGGAAGAGGCGCGCCGAAGATGGCGAGATGGGTAGGTGACATCAGTGTGGCGGGAACAAAGCCTCGTCTTTGGTCGCGGCCTGGAAGAGATGGTCGGTGCACTCACGGCAGTATTCGTGCCCGTATCACAGCCGCGCCACGTCGAAGGACTTCTGCTCCTCGCCGCATATCTCGCATACTTGGTCGACCGTTCCTTCCGTCCGCCTCCTCACGCCCCTATGCGCTGATGACTGGGCCGTTCCAACGTTTAGCTTTTTAACGAGCACCGCCGAGCTCTCTTCTTTAGAGTTGTTTGACGCTGCTAGCTTCGCCGGCTCCTCTACGTCGCCGCCGTCCGCAAGGCCCGCTGTGCACTGCTCCTGCCCCGACAGTTTTTGCGCCAGCGAGCGGTCGCGTATGGCGACGTCTTCCGCTTGAGACCCCTCGGCCAAGATGTGTCGGTCAGTCTGAACGGCGTCGGCGTTGCTCCTTCCCATTATGCCGTCCCTTAGGATTTGTATGCCCTCTTCGAGCTCCCATCTGTATAGCTGCAGCGCATAGTCCGGGTCGCCGACCTTGCCTTCCATGCCTTTCCCTTGTGATCTACTAAGGCCGTGTGTATATCTTCGAGCTGCAACTGTAGCACCAGCGTCGCGGACTGTGCATTCAGTGCTTGTAGCTCCTCGGAAAGGAAGTTGGCCATGTTTCCTTGAATAGAAAGTTAGCAATTGATGCGATTTGCGGTCCGTAATGGCCTCGAATTGCGCAGTGGACGGAAGAAAAAAAAAAAAAAAAAAAAACAGTTTATTTAAGTATCATAGACGTGCGTTCGTACAGACTGCTCGTTCGTAAGGACCGTCTGCCACCAAAAATCTATTTCGCTTGCGGTCCATAACATATGCAAAGGTAACGTCATGTAGCAGCAAGGGAATGATGCTTTGCTGGGTATAGAAGCCCCCGAGGTCGCGACGTGAGGGAGATAACCTGCCCTCTTCGACGTATCCGAATCCTAGACGGTAGTGAGAAGCTTGCTGGCTCCCAAGAAGCTCCGTTAACTTTTCCTGGGCTAAACAGTTCGGACGCTGTTTCTGCATTCGCTTTAGGCGGGAAGGGAGAAATGAGAAAGCTGGGACTCTGCAGCGGGGTCGCTTACGGCTTGTGATGATGACTCAGCATACACACGTCGCAAGGAAGAGTTTTAAATTCCGTGAGGTTCACCACCGCAACCTACAGTTGCTCCATACATACTCCTGTATGATGAAGCCGACCTACTATTACGATTTACACATCTAGCTTAGTACATGTACGTTCTTAACTCACTTACCCCGCAACCAGCCCAGTATCGGACCGATGCCGTTGGAATGAACCTTTGATTAACTCAGCCTCCTAGGTCCGCGCCCAAGTCACCGAATATACATACGCGCACTACTCTAAAGCTGCCCCTTACCATCTCACGAACATCGCCTGCCCACAATGCTCCGAACAGTAACTGTTGGCCTTTACACTTTATAAGCATACACTTTAAACACGAATGCGACGGGTGGAAGACGTCAGTTATTCGATTTAAACGCTGGACTTCGTATATAAAGCGCTTTCAATTACCGCGCTAAAGCCAGACTTTTTATAACGAGCTCGTATTAAGCAACGTATCATTATCGCTTAATACCTGCTCGGCGTCCCCATATGCCGCGTACATTGACGGGGCATTGGAGTTGGAATTGTTGGAATTGTGGAGGTCAGAGTCGCCTCTAGCGAATCTGTCGCTTGATATATTTGGAAAGAACATGTATTCACGATGCTGTGTTGTGTATTCAACCGGCATATTCGATTGCATATATGCGGAGGAAGAGAGCTCGAAGGCCTCGGAGGAATCATTTTGGCCATCGAACGGCAGCACCCGTACCTGGCTCGGCGATTCGATGCTTGTCTCTGGTTAAAGTCGTTAGCGGTCCATAGTGCTGGCAGGGGGAATTTTTACATGCCGTGGGCCTGGGGAAGATTGTAAGTGTCCATTGAAGTGTTGCAATGGTCGGCCGCAGTGTGCGAACCGGACCAAAAGGACATGGCGGCTAATTCTGGTTCGTAAGCCGCAGGGTCGAAGAGGCTTTGCCCACCGAGCAGGTTCAATGCAGCAGGCCCCGCATTTTGTGTTAGTTCTGCGCCGAAAGGCTCGCTCTGTGTCTGCTTAGGGTATTGAATACTGTTCCCTCGCCCGCCGGCTGGCCAACATAAAGACTGCTCTTGGAAATCGCTTTCTGCCGCGCTGTGACGAGCGCGCTTTGCCAATCTTCCCAGGTCTTCGCAATCTTTTCTAACAAGGGAGACGTTCTCTTTTTGAATAATTTTTCTCAGACGAAGTGACTCGAAATCAATATGCAGGCGTAAAAGCCTCGTCAGTCCGGTATCCATAACAGCAAGCTGCGACATGTCGATTCCAGCGGTGACCAAGATCTCGATAATACATTTTAATGTCTAAAAGTCCCATTCAGACTTCCTAGGGTCATCTTCGGGTTTCCGTTCTTTTCGAAATTCGGCGCAAACTGCCTCAACCTCGGCGGTATTTAATGTGGTTTCCCAGCTAGGGAATATTCCTCAGGTGCTAGTCTTAAACGAGATGATTACAGGGTACTTACAGTGTTGAACAATCGCTACTTATCTCAAGTACGCGACCAATGCCAAGCTTCTTCGCCAACGTTATGTATCTGTTGGTTCTGGTTGTTATTTGTCTGATGTGCTGGCGAGTTTCTCCAGTGGCATCTACTAATACATCGTACGCATAGCTCCGGGAACTTCGGCCGGCAACTTTCTTCTCAGGAACGATAGGTGACTGCTCTAAGGAGTCAGCACAGTGCGAAAAGAGGAGGCAGAATATTCTATGCGCGTAGATAATGGCTCGCTCATTTTGCTTATTCCTCTTATACCAAAGTCCGAGGCTCTTCATGACGCAAGACATTAAATCTCCAGAGGATACAGGGTTGTGCTCTGTCTCCGTAGGAGTCTGTACGAAAAGAGACCAGTGGATGTTGCCTTTGAGTTCCTTAATTGGCGGATTCGGAGGGAGCCTGGCATGCCTTAGGCTCGCTAGACCCAGTGTGACATTTTCCTGGTTAACTTGCGGGGCCTTTCGGCCTCTAACAGGCCTTTTTTCCACGGAGGGGTGCTGAGGGGGGCTGAACTGTTGATCACAAGATATATTCTGACCTCTTTGGACTCCTGGAGAGACCTCAGCAGATTCGGCCAATCGAGAAATAGGCTGGTTTCCTCGGATAGGAAAGATTGAGGCCGAAACAGATCCTCTCAAGTCCATTGGCTCCGAATCTCCACGCTGATCTCGGGGATCTTTTCGAGTACTGCCTAACATTCCAGTTGGTCTTCTGGTCTCCAAATCCCATGTCAGCGAAGCTGCGTCCAGTCTGAATTGATTTGGGATAAGCTCGGGAACTTTTTCAAATAGTTCCGCCAAGAAGCTTAAGAGACGGCTTCTCCGGTGCTAAAAATTCAAAAAAACGTTGTAGCAATGTTCGTTGGCACGGCAGGAGCTTGGCTTACTGGTGTTTCTAAGACCATGGAGAGATCCACACGGCTGAATAGGTCAAGGCTTTGGTCAAAATCCTTGTCCATTTCATGACGAGTAGCAGGGTTAGTGTTGCGATTGGACGACATTCTTCACGGATATCTTAGCAGAGTTGATCTCAAATCTTCAGTTGAAGGGAAAGATAGGACAGGGGCTAGTATACGTAATAAGTAATGGCGCCAAGGCGATTTCATAAGTAGTGGGTGGCTTATATGTTCGATTCTAGGAATTGAGGGAGGCGCATTAATCAAACTTCGATCTGCATCAACAAGCTCCCATAGCTTTCGCGCGGTGGATTGGACGACCGTACGTTATACGCAATAGTGTTAGCCAAAGCTCCAGCATTTCGGGACAAATTTCGTACTGTCGTGCGTTGCAAGGGAATTAACTGATGCAGTACCTCCCTTGGTTCCTGCTAATGGGTACTTGAACTCTCGAACGGCCATTGGAGAGAAGAATTAAGTCGGACGCAACCGGGGACCCCAAAAATACATGCATTCAATCCAAGCTACATATCTGTCACCCATATCGTGCACGTAAGGTTGCAACTCCTCATTCGACAACGTGTCGCACAGCTGCACGGGCTACCTGTACGCTTGGCTGGATGGTTTCACATGACGGTGGTTCGGCTCGTAGAATTAATCGAACATCCCTGTCTATTATGATTCGGTTGCCGCTTGCGCTGATTAGTGAAAGTCTATGGCGCTACTAATGCCGACCGTTATTACCCAGAAAGTGTACACATCTCGTGGTAAGCGCACATAACGTTCAAAAAGCATGCGGCCTTCTAAAGTGAAGATATCGCTGGAGGAAAGCACATTCTTGTAAGTTATTTGTCGAAGGGCGCGAGAAAGGAGTGTACGCCGCTTGTCCTTGATTAATTCTATCTTGTCTAGATTATATATCAATCCTCCTGAGTAGGCCGCGTAATTGGCAAAATAGAAGGGTAGTCTTGTGGAAAGTAGCAGGGGTCTGTTGCGATGGTGCGATAAAAAAGCAAGTAATTCACGTGATTTAGATAGTGATGGTTGACAATATATATTACCTAAATATATTATCACATTTCTCCGTCCGGCCGGGTGTACTGCATGCAAACACACTAAGAATCCTACCTAAAACTACTATCTCCTCCCCCAAAACGCCCTCTTTAGGTCTCCCGATGGCACCAGATCTATCAAACCCGTCGTTGGCGGAGGCCACGACCCTAAACACCCCGCTGACCTCTATTATTAGGAGTCCGATAACCCTAGAGACGAACACCGTAGCAAATAGTACTATTCGACGGCACGCCGCTAAGATAAAGCAAATCAAGACTACCCCCCTCCCACTCGCTTAGGACCTTGATCAAAACAACGGACCCCTATCCTCATCACTTTAAACCCTTATCCAAGAAGAGAAGCTTAAGATAAAAGTAACGGACGAATTCCTTAAAGCTTTCGCTAAAACCCTAGACTAGCAACTAGTCCGTTTCCCTACCGGCCACCAGGCAAAACTCGCCTAGGCGTTAACTAAGAACCTTCTCAACACCATCAAGCGGCACTTACTAGGCAGCACAGAGGAAACCTCTAAATCAACATACTAATCCCGGAGTTATACGGAAGCAGTTACACTAGGAGCTCTTAAGGAAACATCATACTCTCAAACCAAGGCGACTAAGTATAAGACCCTAAAGACACAGGACATAAAAGAAAAAGACAATAGGCTTTTATTAGACTCTCCCCGAACCACCTAGCGCGCAACTACTAACCCTTTACAATCAAATCAGCTATTATTACGCAACTAGACCTTACAATAGATACTATGCGAGAAGCCCAAAACGTCAAATTAGGGATAGCAATCGTTCCAAGCGGTGAAGTTACCACGTAAGCAATCCGGGGCAAAGTTAATAATATAGCCGCCCTAATTAGTGGAAAAGCAGAACTCGCACAGACCTACTATACCTACGTAGTCGCTCTCTAAATAGTTCCTCGACAGCGAAATGACTAGGGACGTGCTCGCTTGTTGGCGGGACAGCCGCATTCACGGGGCACTAGTGCAAGGCGGACCGGCGGGCAGGGCGGGGACATGCAAGCTCTGAGCGCGATGATGGCGACGGGGGAAGAGGCAGTGACACGGCTAGTTATATGCCCAAAGGGGCGCAGGCGGGTACTTGGAGCCTCCATACGCACCACCTTACAGCCCACGAGTTTCGAGCATAGTGGTACAGAACACGAGTATGTGCAAGCCATAGTCAAGCACATGGAACGACTTCCTTCTTTTCCCAGATAGAGATAATGATATCTATGTCGTGATTTTGCGTGTCCAGGGCTGCTGCGGCAGGAATTTATCGTGTTCCATTGCCATGTCCTGCTCAGCTAGCAGACTACCCGGCAGACTGGTCTATCGGGGCTAGGAAAGAAGAGCGGGAGTAGGAAACGGCCAGGCATGACGCGCAACTAGAAGTAATCTTTGATCCATTCTAAAGCCAGAAATTTTGTAATACTAGACTTTAACAAATTCCCAAACCATCTCGTCCAATTCCTAGTTTTCAACAGCCACCAGCTTCCCTTCCCCATTCTTTATTTTTGTTGCACTCCATTCATTGCAACAAAAGAGGAATACGTAAAGAAAATAGCCTGACAGCCTAGAAATATCCCTACAGCATAGTGGCTGTAAATAGTTATGAACCTAGCACGAGGGATTGTAGATTGCTGCTACCTGCGGTGGTATATACGCCTCTATCTAGGGGGGTACCTTGCTCTCTGACAGTGTCACTTTCTTGCTGTTGGGGAATGAAAACAGTGTAAGGGGATAAAGCTGTTGTATAAAAACTGAATGTAGGACTGCAAACATATTTATCCGAATACTACAAACCGAAAACCGTAAAACCCGTCCATTCCGTTAGTTTGTACCAAGCTTGGTGGATACTACAAATGATAAGCATAGCGCTTTAAATACTTTAGGAAGCCGTCAACACACACCTGTAATATTTTGTATCTGCTTCTCAAGCTCATGCTCAGAGTACCGTTCAAGGAGTTGTTCAGCCAAGGCTCGGAAGCGCTGAGACTCCTCCGGCAAGTATTGCCTATAGGCTTCTGCCACGCCGCTAAAGTCTTCCTCACCACCAAGGTCTTTTGGAACTTCATAACTGTTCACGCGCTCCAGAACAGCGTCTAAGTCACCTGGGTCTATAGGAGTTTTGCCTTCCCAGGATCGGAGCGATAAGAAAGCGACGGCGACAGGGAACGCGAATCGATGACCGAAAAGCTTGCCGAGGGATATGGAAATCTCGACTTTCTCGCGCTCTTCAGAAAGGCATCGAGGAGACGATAAGCTCTGCCTTGCGGTTCTGACTGCTCGAGCAAGAGCATTTTTTTTACGCCAATCATCGTCTTCTAACTCGGGCAACAACTTGAATAAGCCGCAACGCAAGATGTCTCTCAAAGAGATAACGCGAAATTCGACGTTCTCCATATATATGCTGCCCCGTAAGAGATATTCGCTCAGGTAATAGTGCCGCACTAGTTCTGGCCATTTACCTCGGTCGATTGGCGTGATCCTGTAGGCATCGTAGAGGGCAGTGGCAGGATAGACAGGAATGGCGAAATTGCTTGTGTCCAAGACGCAGACCTTGATGTTTTCTTCTTCCTTTCGATCATAGTCTTTCTTCAAGAGTGCATATTGAATGGCAAACAAAAGGGAGCTTGACCAGGACGTAAACTCTGAAGGAGACTCGTATCTCCACAACAGATGGTTTTCGATCATCCTTTTGGTGCCAGCAACTCCTCCAAATTCTATGTTGCGCCAATTGGTATCGTCGGGAAGTATTTGTTCGCTTGAGTTTGCTGCCAAGCCACCGCGGGAATTTTCTGAGCATGTGCGAAATAGATATCGTGGCACACGGCGCCTGGACTCTGTTTGTTGTTAGCGAAGGGCTGCAAATACCCTGGCTCTATATCAGTTCTTGCTACCTTGAAGAGTGATGAACTGCTCCTCTGACATGAACATTGTAAGGGTGGATAATTATGGTGCAAATCTTCTCTGACTCTGATGATGACGCTACGAGATAATGACTAGATAACAGAGCATGTTTATATATGGCTTTGCTGCTAAGGTGACTGGACTGCGGCACAGCGGACGCCCAAGGCTTACAAAGAGGCACAGAAAACTCCCGATGCTTACATAGAGGCACAGAAAACGCCCAAGGCTTAGAGGTATACGAAACATCCAACACTCTATATCCTCTTGCAGACAAAAACTTCTAATTATAAGCTTTGCAGCATGGGAGGTGGGGAAGGAGCATGAAAGAAAATTTTGTGCCCAGCCACACAGCAGCAAGCCGGCAACTTCGCCACCAGCCAACAAAGGCAGCGGATAATTAGACCACCCCTTCTAGACATCTGCACCGTCCGCTCCACCACCTGCCTAATCGGGTATCACGCCCGGCAGAAAGCTGTCTTCGTCGCGCGCCCGCGCCGCACACTCCTGCGGCGAATAGGAACTGGCACCCCCAATTTTGCACCAAAAATCAACCATGAAATCCCTTATCTCAACCCTGGCAGTCACAGCACTTCCAACGGCGAGTCCGCACCTAAGCTGGTTACAAACGTCGCTTTTTCGCGCTCGCAACCACGCCCACGTCGTCTGCCGCCAGCTGCTCGCGTCTCCGCCCACTCTCCGCAGCAGCTGTTCGCTCCTCCGCATGTTCACTCACTCGTTCAATAGTTGACCCTCTTCGGCAGTTGCCCTCTGTTCGCGCGCGCGGGCATCTCGCGGGCTGAAGAGGGTTGCCCCTGGCCGTAGAAGGCAATATCCACGATGTTGGGCCTGCTCTCGACCTCGTTCTCTTCACTCTCAGTGTCCTCAGTATCCTCGTCCCGCTGCTGCTACTGCTGCTGCTGACGGTGATTGGCTCGATCTGGTGTTCCCTCTTCGGTTGTCGTCCGCGTGGGCGTCCGCGGGGCCGCTGGGTGACTATTTTAGTAGTAGTCATCGTCATCTCTGATGCCTGTTGAGTGGCCTGTTGCTGAACGAGCCGAGCAAACATCCTGTGTAGCTCCTCTACCCGCTTTTGTAGATCCCCGGGGATGTTGCGTTTGCCTTTTCTCTTGCGCTTGGCCCTACGCTGGGTGGCCTTGTCGGTTCGCTGAGCGATCTCAAATTGCGAAGGATCTCTCTACGAGTTGCTGGCAGGTGCCATACTGGCATTCTATCAAGGTACTGACACCTGTACGAGCTGTTGAGGACGTGGGTACCCTCGTTAGCATATGCTTATCATCTGTCAATGCGGCAAAAGAGCTTGTAACGAGACAAGGTCAATTTCGTAGCAATGAATGCTAATTACTGCGTGGTCGGTAGCGTCGAAGTAGCTGCGTTGAACTTCAGCGAGAGCCTTACACTGTTTTTATGGGGAGCAGTCACTTTGCTGTTAAGTCCCGCTTCCAGATCCTGTACAGGTCTAAAGTTGTTGAAAACATCATTGACAGTCTCCAAATTGTTGCAGAGGCGAACAGGAAAAGGTCGTCCAGGTCATTGATAAAAACAGCACTGTCCGAGCTGAAATCTTTGCAGGAGTTTGTGGCTTAAATTTGTGGTTGAAATTTGTGGCTGAAGCCTCACCAGTGGTGTCAGTGTTTACCAACGGAAGCTTGCTGTTACGCTATCCTTTGGGTATCCACCCAACATCTTCTCCCATTACCAGCCGTGTAGGACAATCTTCTGGGAATCCCCGTCACAGCGGAAATGCCTGCCTACAAACATGAGAGTATGGGATAGCGAGCTTTTGGTACATTTTATCCGGGGTGGCAGGGTACCGCTATGGGGGACAGTTCTTAATAGATATCCATGATGGGTCAGGGTGCAATGATGAAAATGTTGCAGGAAGCCGGGAAGGCTATGCGGCGACGCTGTTGGCAACTATTTTGAACATCCTGATCGTCGTGACCGGGTGATCGTTTGTTAGTGGAAGGTATAATGGCGTCGGGTTAGGCTCCGCACAATGCTAATGATCGTAGAGAAATGAGCTGTGAGCAATGCAATGGCTCGGCGCATCGCCAACGTTGAGCCCGCCTATTATGGACCACATGTAACATCCCCGCAAGTGCGGCTGACTACTGCCCGCACAGTAGTGAAGGCCATCGAGGTGAGTAGTTAAGCTTTGAGAGATGCGCCTGGCGCCGTGTCGCCTTACTCGCGCACCACACTGAAAAGAGCATCCCGATCCGTGAGCACGCTGCGGTTAGGGGGAGTGTGGTGGCAAGGGGAAATGAACAAAGGATAGTCGCATCGCCGTGTCTGCCGTCGGAGTGGGCATCGCAGCCGCCGCTCCTGCCTCGGACACTACCACCATCAGTGAGTAGAGTGAGGCTCCGTTAGCGAAAGCACGAGGTTGATGCTATTTGAGCCTACGAGCCAGCTCAGAGCGTTCCGGTGGTGCGAGGGAGATGCCCCAAGCTCCAAGCTCGGGCGCGCCTCGAAGCGTCGTCGTAGAAACGCCGCATCGCGCTTGCCCGCTAACACAACCTCAGCGCCCTTTCACAACCCAATCCACGTCGCCATGCCCGTTCTACTCCGCCATGCCACTGCACACACCCCTGCGCTCGCGCTCGCACTGCGACTCCGACCGTCCTCTCCTCCCTAACAACCCCGATAACGAATACCTTACCTTCAGCAATGACAACTCCCGCGACCTCCTTGGTCTAATTCTCAACCAAGATGTTGCACCCCAACGGCGCCCACCCTATTTAGCTGTCCTTTTTACCAAATTCGACAGCCAAATTAGGCAATATCGGCGCCTGCCGTGGGCGGGCGTCGATCTGGCCAAAATGGCCGCCAATTTGGTGTTGATGTTGCAAATATATGAGGCATCACGCCACCTACTGACTCGACCCCTGAACGACCCCTGTTCAACACCAAATCAGCTATCATCACCGAGCCACATCTGCAGCAGCGCCTGCAGCAGCAGCAGTCCCTCCTGCGTCGGCACGGAGGCCCGCTGGTTATATAATATACTATGCCTGGTAGTGCTTCGCAAAAGCAAAAGTCTGAACACGCGTTGATGTATTGTAGAGGCCTGTTTTTCGCCCATAAAACGGGCTTGAGAATGCAGCAGCAGGTCAGTGAGCTTCAACGCTTTCTCAATTTTACCAAGCACGGTTTACAACATGTCTTCTTCGTCCTCCGCCGCTCCCGCGCGCCTTGCTGAGTACCCCGCCGCTCCCGCGCGCCCTGCTGAGCACTCTGCTACACCCGATCCTGCTGGTGGTGTTGAGAACCGCCCTGCTAACACCACTGCTACGCTCCTACCGCGTCCCTACGTCCCAGAGCGGGTTACTGAGCCCTTTACCTCCGCTGCGCGCGAGTCCTTCAGCGCCATGATCGAAGCTACTGGGGACAATACAAGGCATATTAGTGCTCTGCAGTACTACGAGCTTCGACAGTGGCTCACTGGCAGGCCTACGAGAACTAACGTCGATCGCCGTGCCCGCCGTCATGCCAAGGATAACTATACCTTCTATGAGGGAGAAGGTGGTAAAGAAGGCCTGTATAAGAAGGCCGGTAAGGGGTATGAGGAGAGAAAGGTATTGCGTAAGAGCGAGGTTTTTAATGCTATTTAGGACGCACACCTAGATACTGGCCATACTGGTATGTATATTACTATATATAAAGACGTCTTTTTACTAGTAAAATCGCCTACTAATATACACTACTGTATAGCTATCGAATCAACGTATAAGTATGTTGTTTCCCAGCACTACGGTGTTACCCGTAACGATATTGCGTTCCTCCTACCCCTATGCTAAGTATGTATTCGCACGAGGAACCACCCTACTACTCCAGCGCGGATAACGCCGATCCTCTCTAAGGAGATATTTGAACGCCTATAAGTAGATCTCGTTGACTACTCTAATTACCCTGACCCGGCAACAGGGGATAAATACGTACTGTATATACGCGATCACTACTTTAAGTTCTCCTAGCTAGTCCCTCTATAGAACAAAACCGCACGAGCAGTTGCCTCAAGGATACTACGCTGGATATAGGTATTCGGCGCTCCGAAGATGCTTTACTGTAATAACGGTACTGAATTCAAGGGCGCTGTACGTGTTCTCATAGAGGACTATTGTATAAAGATTACTCTTGGCGCTCCTTATCACCTAGAGAGCCAGGGTGGTGTTGAGAGAGGTAATAGGGATATTAAAACGAAGCTTGCGAAGGCCTGTACTGCGTGGGGCCACCCTGGCTTCGCTCATGCCTGTGTGGACGTTACTCTGCAGTCGAATGCTATACTACGGCGGAACATTGGGATGTCTGCTCACAAAGTCCTCTTCGGCCGTAATATGAGGATTAGGCGCGTACGAAGGCCCCTACACGAGAGGGCCGAATCGCCAGTGATAGTTAAGGATAACATTGCGGAGAGCTCCGGTGATGACAGTACTATAGCGGATATAGAGGTGGAGGAGGACTTAGATGACGCTGATACTGCGGAGCACGAGCGGGGGAGGACTCGCGGGCGAGCGAACGAGGCGGGCGACGGTTCGCAAACGAGCGCTAGCCCGCGTGCGAACGAGCGAGCGAACGAGCAACCAGCAGAGCGCGCTGCGGGAGCTACGGAGGTTGTAGCAGGTCCGACAGGAGACCCGTCGGGTACCCGCAGTTCCAATTTACCGCCAAGACCCAGCGAAATATCGCCCTCCGAAGAAGACCTGTACCACTCTTCATCTTCGTCGGACCTGCCGCTACCTTCGACGCTTATACGGCCTCGCGTACGAACTACTACTATCGAAACGATCGATCTAACGCACGATACCCCGCCGCGGGCCGCTCCGCGTGCCTCACAACAGCCTCTTCCGCAGTCCCCACTGCCTCCGCGTCCCTCACAGAGTCCTTATACTTCATTGATTCGGTGGCCGCTGCCGCTTACGCCCCGCGCTACTCGTATCTCTCCTCCATCAGCAGAACAGGAGCTACTACGACGTCCTGATGCTCCAGAGTCGGTTCGAAGAGGCATAGAGCGCCTCGCCTAGGCGCAGAGAGAGGCGTTTACTGCTAAGCAGGTAAAGGAGGAGCGACTACAGGAGACTACAGAGCGCGCTCTACAGTTGCAAGCGGAGCAGGCGGAGAAGGCGGAGCAGGCGCTACAGGCGCTGCGAGCACTACAAGCAGAGCGAGCAGAGCGGGTTAAACGTGCGGAGCAACCCCCTAAGCAGCACCCCGCGGAGCATCCTCCGCACGCTAAACACGCGGCCAGTAAGCCTCCGCTCGCTCAACACGCGGCTAGTAAGCAACCCGCGCCTACTAATAGAGGGTGGGACCGCTCCGCAACTAACGCAACAGTCCGCCGACTTGGTGATAATAAGCGCCAGAGGATGGTGAAGCAATCAAACACCTCACAGGCTATGCCACCATTCACTATTGGCAGTGTTGTAGGCGCGAAGGTACCTGAAGCGGACCAGCGGGGTACTCCGCAGATGTTAATCGGAGTTATCCATAAGGTAATTAGTCAGATGTATTCTATAAGAACACCCTTCGGTATTCTTAATCGACCTTTCCCTCCGCACAAGCTGGCCCTGCTACAACCCGCCCAGCGCCCTAATCATCTTGATACCCCTAAGGCGAATCAGCGCATCTCAGTACGCCAAGCAACACAGCAAAATGGCCTCTCTCTTGGCATAATTGCCCCCAGTTGCCAGTGTACGCGAGGGTGTAATAACAACAGGTGTGTTTGCCGAAAGGAGGGTCGAGAATGTAGTATCAGGTGCTATAGAGGGAGCCAGTGCTCGAACCCACCGCAGCAGGGTGAGTCCTCTATAGGAGCAGCGGGTGAAGCAGCGGGCAGAGTAGTACGCGGAGTAGCACGCGGAGGACGTAGCGGGCGTGGCGGGCGTGGCGGGCGTGGCGGGCGTGGAGGAGGGTCCTCTACAGTAGCAGAGGCACCTGCTACTGCAGAGGCACCTACTACTGCAGAGGCACCTGCTACTGTAGAGGGACGCGGAGGACGCCGAGGACGCGGTGGGCGCGTAAGACGAGGCAGTGGGGTGGCCCGGGACGGTGGCACAACGCGTTCGGGGCGGGTGAGCAGGCCAACAGCGCACGCGCGCGGTGACGATTGAGGTGTTTTTAGCACTTTTTTTTTGCGGAGTTGTAGATGGTTCGTGATATTTAGTAGTCTTCTTTTTCTCCAATATTCTCCGAGTTTTTTAGTGTGAAATAGCGGAGAACAGCGGAGAACGAAGAACTGTAGCTGACTCGCAGACCAGTACGGGTGATTCGGTTAAATGTACGAAAATTGATACGATCTACAACATCAACACCAAATTGGCGGCCATTTTGGCCAGATCGACGCCCGCCCACGGCAGGCGCCGATATTGCCTAATTTGGCTGTCGAATTTGGTAAAAAGGACAGCTAAATAGGGTAGGCGCCGTTGGGGTGCAACACTTGCACGGATAACAGAAAGTAGAGGATTTCGGCAACACAACTTTCTCGAGGCAGAAGGGAACGTAATAACCAGCGCTCCTAGGGACCTAAATCCGGCATCAAACGAACCGGCATAGCCAGCTTATCTACCCCCCTAACTTGCACCAGGCCCCAGGCCTTGGTTATAACGTTACAACCGGAAAACATACCAGTCTTTCCTCCGACCTAGCGGGAAAATTTTTCGGCGTTCCTTACCAAGAAAAACCCCTCCCCTAGAAACTACCCGGAACTATAACTTCGAGACCAAAGAGGCACCCAGCCAATCTCGAGATGGAAACCCGCCCCCCTAATATCCGGGAGGATCCCTCTACGCCCCCCTTAACCCGCCTAAGAATTATTCTATCCTCCCTAATCCTAACGGACGAGGATACGGACATGGAACAAGAAATAAACCAGACCCAGCCCTAGATTATAAGGGAAGACCCGCTAATAGAAACTACACCTACTCTAGGGATCTCCCGCCAAAACGAGAAATCCCCAGTAGTTATCCCTACCCCTATCCACGGCAAGCGCCAACGGGAGAATATTTTTGCCTTCCCAGCTACGCCAGATAAAAACCCTAAAAGGACTCGCTACCCCAGTAGCTTTCCCGTCCCGAAAACGTCCACTAAATGGCTCCAAGCCTCCCTAGACTGCCTTCTAAAGGCAGCTAACGCGGAACAAGATACCGACAAGACAGAGAGCCTTCTCGATCTCCTCTCTATCTTTAGGGATTATATAAAGATAGGAAAAATAGACTACTTAAAGTCTATCCTTGCTACGCAAGTAAAAGCCCTAGAAAATACCTCCCGGGTACTCCAGACAAACGTACGGAAACTAGGAACGCCTCTCCCTATAATTACCCCGGCCCTACCTAGCTAAACTTTCCCCTAAAACTCTTAAAGCTACGCCTCCGCAGCTATAAGGAACCTCTCGCCCGACTAAACCGGATTTACTCTTAATTCTAATAAGAAAAAGCCCGGAACTACCCCTCCGCCCGCTTGTCACGGCAGTAAGGCGGATTCAAATCAGATTGTATAGGATTGACTATAAGACGTGGTACGAAGAGGAAAGGAAGAGAACGAGAGGCGGCGGCTATATATCACACACGAACCATCAGAAGGGAACGTAGCAACTAGCGCTCCCAGGGACCTAAATCCGGCGCCAAACGAACCGGCACAGC